GCACCCCCAATGTTCATAGCAGCACTATTTACAATAGCCAAGATGTGGAAACAATGTAAATTTCCACTGACAGATGACTGCATAAAGAAGTAGTGGTATATTTACAGAATGGAATACTACTCAGCCATAAAAATAATAAAATAATGCCATTTGCAGCAACATGTGTAGACCTGGAGAATGTCATTCTAAGTGAAGTAGCCAAAAAGGGAAAGAAAAATACCATATGATATCACTTATATGTGGAATCTTAAAAAATAAATAAATAAAAAGACAAACAAATTTATTTACAAAACAGAAATAGAATCACAGATATAGCAAACAAACTTATGGTTCCCTGGGGGGAAGGGGGTGGGAAGAGATAAATTGGGAGTTTGAGATTTGCAGATACTAACTAATATATAAAAAACTATATGAACAAGGTTATATTGTATAGCACAGGGAACTATATTCAATAACTTGTAGTAACTTACAGTGAAAGGGAATATGAAAATGAATGTACATATGTTCCTATATGAATGAAGCACTATGCTGTACACCAGAAATTGATGTAACATTGTAAACTGACTATACTTCAATAAAATTATATACAAAATAAATTAAAGTGAAGAAAAACAGAATGACTAAAGTTAAAAATACTGACAATAACAAGTGCTGAAAACCAATGTGGAACAACTGCAACTCTTATATTACAAGTGAGAATGCAAAATGTTATAGCAATTTTTGAAAACAGTTTGTAGCATCTTATAAAAAACATCTACAATGTAATCTAGTAATCCCCCATATAAACAGCCTAGTAAACAACCCAGATGTCCTGGAATGAACTGGTGAATGAGTGGTACACCCATGTAATAGAATATTACTAAGCAATAAAAAATAACCAACTATTAATACATACAACAATAGGGATGGCTATTAAAGGAATTATGTTAAATGAAAGAAGCTAAACACAAAAGATTACTACTGTATGATTCTATTTACATGGTGTTCTAGAAAAAACAAGATTATGGTGACAGAAAGCAGATCAGTGTTTGACAAGAGCCAGGGCAGGAGCAAAGACTGACTGCAAAGGGAGAAAGAATATTAGAAATTGATGAAGTGACAGAAATGTTCTTTATCTTGATTATGATGGTAGTTACCTGACTATATGTATTTGTTAAAACCCATCGAAGTAGATACTCGGTGAGTCTTATAAATTTAGGTAAATTATACCTAAACAAAGCTGATAAAAAATAAAATCCTAGATCTGAATAATAAAAGGGTAAATAATCTATTTTTTAAAAAAGGCAAACCAATACAGAAATAAGGATAGTATACTATGATTAGGAAGGGTTTATCCCAGCAATACAATGTTCACTTAACATATGAAAATTACTCAATCCAAATTCACCACATTAACAGATTAAAGAGTAAAAGCATATGATCATTTCAATAGATTAGTGGTTCTTTTTGTATCTAAAGGGACATTTGACAATATCTAGAGGCATTTTTGGTTGTCGTAAGTAGGGGTGTTGCTACTGGCCTCCAGTAGGTAGAGACCAGGAATGCTGTTAAACACCTTACATGGCCCAGGGCAGACTCCAATTGAGAACCACTATTCCATATGCTACTTTCCCCACTCAACACTATGTTTATGATATTTACACACACTGCTATAGGGTACATACATCTAGTCTGTTGCTTCTTGATATGTAATACCCTCCACTGAGTAAGCATCTCCCATATGTTTCTCATTCATGCCCTGGTGATAAATACCTAAGTTGTTTCTAATTGTTCTCTACCACACACAATACTGCCATGCAATCAAAAGTCTTGTAAATATTCCCTTGTGGACCTCTATGACAATTTCTCTAGAATATATATTCCCATATTCAGGAGTAGAACCAAAAAGTCACAAACATGCTTAACTTTGATAAAAACAAAAAACAAACAAAAACAAACAAACAAAAAACTACCTGAGTGCTTTCTGGAATGGCTAAACCAGTTTAATACTGTGTAGAAAAAAAGAGTTAACATATCAGGCCTGAGACTGCTATCCCTAGAAAGGCCTGCTTGAAAGGTTGGCCCTTGGCTGGCATCTTGGAACTTGGATCTCAAGAGGGTTCTCACCATTCCCTGACAAAAGCGACTTGCTGTGCCTAAGCTGTTTCTATAAACAATGAGGGTCATTCTGAATACCTGCCTTCTTTCTGGGGGTCTGTAATTTTGGTACATGCTAGGCAGAGGATGCCAACATGACCAGCCCCCTATAAAATTTGGGGCACTGAGTCCCTAGTAAGTTTCCCTGGTAGACAACATTTCACGTGTTGTCACAACTCATTGCAAGAGGAATTAAGTGCATCCTGTGTGACTCTACTGGGAGAAGACTCTTGGAAATTCACATCTAATTTCTTCAGACTTTACCCCATGTGCCTTTCCCTTTTCCTGATTTTGCTTTGTATCTTTTAGTAGTAATAAATCATAACCACAAGTATGACTATATGCTGAGTCCTGAGACTTCTTCTAGCAAACCACTGAACACAGTGGGGGCCTTAGGGATGTCCCCCCAATACACATTCCCATAATCAAAGCAGGAGAATTTGTAAGAAGACTTACTTTTAGCGGTACACTTTCATGTGTCAAATGTGTCTTTTAAATTTTATACCATGTGCAAGTATTACTGCTTTAACAATAAATACTTTATAAAAAAGGGGGAGAAGAATCACCAAAACAACTAGGTCACCTGTGAATGAGACTCAAAAGATGTTAGAGAACCACAGAGATATACAGTGAAATCTTATATTCCACGTGAAGAAGCCCTAAAGTAAGGAACTTATTCAAAGTTACACAGACAGTAAATACAATAGGACGTGTATCCTCACTTCCCTGTTTCCTAGTTCTCCTTCCTCTAAATCATGTGGCTCCTTTTCCTACACTTGTCACTTCCTCTACTCTAGTGCTCTCGCCTAAATGCCTTGCAGGGACCCACTTTCATATTGACCGTGATCCCTCCTATTTCTCACATTCTTGGAACATGTGACTATGTCAGAGTCCCTCCTAAAACACAGGATCCCACGGAAAATAAACCCAACAGGAACAGAAAAGAGAAGCTGAAGAAAAATTCTACTGGTAACTGTCTGAAGGAGAGAACAAAGGGAGGGGAACAGTAAAGAAAAAGAGTTCTAGGCCAAATCACAGTACTTCCTAAGTCTTCATACTCTAGCAAGGAGGTCAACATCAGAGTCAGAGAGGAATCCATCCCCTACCATAGGACAAAGCAGCTGAGCAGAACCAGATAGTTCAGATACTCCTTCTATAGCTTCCAAACCTCTCTCAAAACTCTCCCCAAAGGGGAAGATGCTTACGTGCTCCAGGAAGCAGGGTCCTATCTCGCTGAGGTGGGGGTCATCATTGTTGTACTGTTTCTCCAGGTCTCTTACGAAGCCCATCTGAAACCTGTAGATATCTTCAATGTTCCCAAAGATCACCTTCAGTTGCTCATCGCTGAACATGTCCCTTCTCTTTCGGCATTGCTTCAGGTATCCCTGCAGACAAAGTAAAAGCCCAGGCTGAGGATGTCCTCAATTCCTTTAGGGCTTCACCACCTCTTAAGTACTTGGGAACCTTATTTCAGTTCCATGAAGTAGACAGGAAATAATCATTTCCATTTGTCATATGAGGAAATTGGGATTTAGAGAAGGAAGCCACTCCACCAGCGAGTAATTAGGAAAGCTGAATTTCAAGTAAAGGTCTTCAGAGTGCAAAGACCCCAGAGCATAGGGCTTTGCCTACCATTCTCTAATGACAAGAACCCTAAAGTCATAGGGCACTTTTTTCAGAAGCTAGTTAAGCAAGTATATTTTCACTTGCTTTAGTAGTTATTGGTTTAGCTGGATTGATTCACAAATCTAAAGTTCTATTTCTTACAGGATCAATCCAAAAGGTCTTGCAGGAAAACATCCCCAAAAGGAACAGGAATTGACAAAACCAAATCATTCTTTAAAGTGAATGTCTTAGCTATCTAAGGTAGGTGGCCAGGAGAAATCATTTGGATAAGCTCGGCCAACAAGCCCATAAGTGCCCATGCAGGGTGTTTTTTTAATAGGGTAAGTGTTTAGAACACACGTGAATAAACAGATGAATTAATACAGCTAGGTACAGATGAAAAGGGAAGAATCAATGAGAGAGATTCTTGGTCTGATAAGAGAGCACTGAGGATAACACAACCAGACTCAGGACACATTGTGTCAGGGCAAAACAAACAAACAAACAAGGTTTTCCATTCTGAAACTAACGGTGTAGATTTTTAACTAATGGCCACTGTCCTTATTAGAAATCATTAGCATGTGAAAATTTTCTCAGTGAGAATGAATTATGGTCACTTGCTTTCATCTAAAAGCTAAATGCAATGTTTATAACACCTGTTAAGCCACTAATGAGGAGAGTTATGGTGACCTACTAACCACTTATGGTCTTGTCTAACTCCACTGTCTCCCCTAACACAGCTTCCAGTGAGGTCATCTAGGCATACTCCAGGAAGATCCTCATCCCTGGCTTGAGTACCCTTTACCAACCCCTACCAAAATCTCACTTCCCTTATCTCTTCTTATCCTCCAATTCAGCCATTAATGAATGTCTTTCAACAGTTTGCAAATTAATACTCTGTGCCTGTATTAACATTTAACTAATGGTTGCCGCCCTCATTGACTGCCATGCTCAAGATGTCCCATATTCATTCATATCCAATTTCTGACCAAGAGGAAGATACTCTCTATTCCCAGAATACTCTTTTAGCTCCACTCTCTTTACTGAAGTTGTTTCCCAAATTCTGCTTCCCTAGAAAGCTTTCTTTCACTTGTAGAGGGAGAGGTGGTAAACTCTTGAAGGTTTCTCTCTGCCTAATATGTAACTCCTAGGGTTTGCTTACCTTTGCCTCTCTCCCCTCTTTCTCTGACTCTCTCTTTCTTACTCTATCACTTTTGTAAGTGTCTTAGCTACAGTGGAGCAGGGAAAGCAGTGGGCAAATCATCTAGCAGGAATTTTTCCATGTTGACATTAGACAAGGGGACAGAGACATCCTCACCCCAGCTCCCACTTTTTCACCCTAAGGTAGACCTGTGAGAACAACTGGAAAAAACTGGTAATAACATTGTATCAGCATGTCACTTCTGGGTAAGTATTAGTAAGTATTAGTGAGTGACCACATTCAGGGACAGAAGAAGCCAGCATGGACAGCTCATTTATCTGAGAAACCAGTTCAGGAAATACTTAATAGTTTTGTTCAGTGCTCCCATTTGAAAGGTCTCAGGGAAGTGACAAATTACCATCAACTCCCTAAAGTGCAGCAAAGATGCTAGATCTCAACATCAGTATGGAATGCAACAGAAATGGAAAAGAAGAAAAAAGTGGGGTCTGGAAAAGAAGGAACAGATAGAGATGTCAGTACAGCTTCCTAATTCCCCAAATATGCTATTCATTGTCTTTGTCAAGGACATCATTTTGTTCTTATTATATTATATGTGTTGTAGCAAGGGAACATTAAACTCTATATTAGGAGGAATGTAACTACCCATAGGATGGTGGGGCCCTAGAGTGTTTTGTCAACTGTTTTTCTTTAAAGGTAATGCTAGATTATAAATATCATGGTACAATTTAGCTCAATGGAGTATTACATAGCCATTAAAATATTTAGGAAGACTGTCTAGAAACATAGAGAAGTATTTATGATATAATGTTAAAAAGCAGAATACAAAATGGTGTCACTGTTTTTATGATTAAAAATAAGAAAAAAAGTCTTTGACAAAGGATGTAAAGAAAATACAGCACCAAGAAGGCTGCCTTGAAGATAATATTATCAAGGAAAGGGGGAGAATCCAATGTCTTCTCAAAATCTCCAGCCCTAGTGAACATGACTTGCTGAAGGGATTACAAATAATAAATATAAACTATCATTATCAAGGAAATAAGAAATGGGACATAAGAATATATGAGAGTAGCCAGAAAATCACAAAATGTCACCCTTACCCCCTACCACACAATTGCCTAGGCTTCTGAGAGGTCAGGAGAGACGACTATTTCCCTGGAATCTTACTTTTATTTTTCATTCCCTTCCTTTGGCTGACTTGGTAACTATATCAAATTTTCCACAGCAATAATGAATAGAGGTTTGGATTAGGGGTCAGTCGATGTTTGTTTCTTCTTCATTCACTCATTTTTAAGGGTATATAAATTTAAGATTAGTTGGCAATGTAATATGTCTGCCAAAAACCCTAACGTCATTTTACATTAGGGATAAAGAAGAAACAGATTGAGAGGGTGGAATGAGAGAAGTAATAAGAAGGTAATAACAGCACTGCAGGAGAGCAGCATTCAATTCTGAGTCCTGTTTTCAGAGGAACATGGAGAAAAGGATACATAGCCAGAGGGGAGTAAGCAGAGTAGAGAAGGCCCTGAAAAGCAACACCATGAAGAATGGAAGGAGCCATGGCTGTTTGTCCTGGAGAATAGAAGACTCGGGGGACCTCTGAGGGCCTGTCAAAGGGAGAAGGGAGCAGAAGGGGTCTATGGCTCTTACTGTCACCCATGCTTTGAACACCCTTCTCAACCCATCTGAATGGTAAGAGAGAATAGGATGATATGGCAGTAGGTATGAACTGATTGAACAGAGGTAGTTTCTGAGAGCCTCACCTTTCCTAGAAGTAAAGTGGGCATGAGTGGAAAGGCAGGTCACACAGTAGCTAAGAGTACTGTGGGAGTTATCCATTCAATCACAATCGGCATTAACTGGCCCTGGCATTGTCATGGTAACAGTCAAGGGAGGTTGCCTATTTATTTCACTATTTTTCTAAACCTACAGAGGTTGATCTAGCAGTCTAGATCTAGTGCATTTAGCTAGAATTAGTGCCTTGATATGGGATACAAACCATAGCCATGACCTCCAGGGAAAATCCCAAAGACCACAGGGAAGTAAGATGGATCAAAGAGCTTCTGGATCACCTAGGGTTTGAGAAAATCTTTTGGGAAAGGCTCTCACAAGTCTGTACCTCAGTGCCTCCGTCTCTAAAATGCATATATCAGAAAATATTTCCAGGGCCCCATTCAACTCTGACTTTCTAGAGATACCATATATTGTATTGCCTTGAAGCCTGAGGACTGACAGGATACCTGATAAACATCTTGAAAATCATTTTAGGAAAATTAGGGAATGATGTCCATGGTTGCCCTGTTCACAGCTGTATCTGTAGAGTTTGACACAATACCTCGCATATAGTTTCTGCTAAACAAATATATGTTGAATAACTGCAAAATGACTAGCTTTTCTCATGCTAATGATGACAAAAGGTAACTAAGAGGCAGAATGTTTAAACTGGTGGATTTCTTTTCTTCTGTCCCTTTTTGGGCCAGGAAATCCCTTCTTCAAATGAAATAAAACCATTAAAGAACAAGAGGATGATAGGAAGAAGATATTTCCAACACTGAGAACTGACAAGGGATTACTATCTGGAATACACAAGGAATTCCTATAAATCAGTGAGAAAAATATGAGAAACTACAGGAAAATGGGCAAAGGATACAAACAGGGCCTGGAGTATTCAGGTGGCATGGATAGGTAGGGCCTAGAGCAGCCAGAATCCCCTGAGCTCATTACTTCAGGCCAACGAGCTGCCTCATCCCTTTAATTTAGTATGCTATAAAAATATTACTGTTTTATACAATTTATTCTTTTATATGTGTACACCAAGATATAGAGACAATTAGGAAGCATCAGGATAGGCAATTTACAGAAAGGAAAAACCAAATGGCTAATAAGTTTGAAAACCCCAGGCTTAAACAAATGGAAATGGCTTGAAGCTGCAGCATTATAAACTCGATTAGATCTAGAAGAACTGCTTGATGGCAAAGGGTATGAGACACTAATACAAAGGACTGAGGAAAACTAGTCCAGCTTTTCTGGAGGCATTTGAGGACAGAATTTATTTCACTGGTATCAGATGACTGAGAGTATCTTCCTTTGAGAGGCAAACAAGGCAACTTTATAAGGCATACTTAGCTTTGCTTGCCCTGTGTCTCAGTTTCCCTGATCACAATATGATCTAAGGTTACAAGAGGTAATACCACCAATCACTGGTCAAGGATACCTAGAACTAAGCCAAGACTCTTTTACCTTACTGTTTGGATTTAGTAAGAAGAATGTCATCTTTTCAGAGAACTCATTGAAAAATATTTTTATCTTATTGGCCTCACTGAATGACTTTGATAAAAAATAACTCTATTTCCTATTTCTTCATTTGTAAAATGAGGGGAATGTAACTTAAGTGTAATGAATGAATGAGTATTTTCTAATATATAGTGACTTTTTTCCATACTAAATACAGTATTTAGAGATCTACCTAATCTACAGAAAGAGTAGATTATGCCATGTTACATGCATGCCTGAGTAAGACATGCTCTGTGAGTACCAAGGAGGAAACGGCAGAAAATGCAGAAGTAACCCGGATCACTACCACAGCTTTCTCGAGTAAGAGCATATCTAGATCTCACAGAATCAAAGAAAGATTGAGACAGCACTTAAAGAGCAGATCTTCCAATCTGATCATTTTAGAGTTGGGGAACAAGGCCCAGGATGGAAAAGATTCACCTGAAGTTCCTCAGTCAGTGACCAAGGTGGGACCTGAACCTGGGACTCCCAATTCTAAGTTTGGTGTTCTTTCTTATAAACTACATTGCTCCTCACAGCTTTTGGTTTAGAGGTGACACAACCCTAAGCTAAAATACTGTCTTCTAGCCAAGCTAGACATAGCTTTCTCTATTCCTCTTTTGCTCTAAATGTTCCTTTGACACCTGTGGTTGCAGGGTGGGACAAAGAGATATTTCTATTCAAACCTTAACTTCAGCACCAAGAATGATTAAGAAATATGGAATTCGAAGATCGCCAGCAAAAGCTTTGCTTGGGTTGGCTGGATTGGGCAATTCCTTAAAGCAGGGACATAGCACTCCCTCTTTTGGAAAGATAAATACCTGCATTGCTATCCTGAGTCCATGCCCAGTAGAAAGAAGCCAAGATGGGAGTTGGGAACAAAATCCATCTAAGACTAGATGACTCCCAATGGGCCAGTGCCTGAGAACTCTAGGAAAGCAGTTTTGCCTCTTAGAAACTCAATCTGCTGATCTAGAAAATAGGAATAACAACAACCATTTTCCTGTCTGAAAATTAAATGGCATAAGATGTGAATATACTTTGTCAAAGCAGTACATGCACATGAGCATTTATATTTAATTCTAACTTTCAGCAATATTTACTGAGTATCTACCATGTGCTAAGTACTCTGCTAGGTGTTGAAGGTATATCAGTAAATCAACAGACAAAAACCCCTGTCCCTCATGGAATTTACATTCTAGCAGGAGAGAAGGACAATATACAAAACATATGAACAAAATATATGTCAAAAAGCAGTAAGTGTAATGGAGGGAAAAAAAGCAGGATAGTGCAAGTTTACAATTTTAAATAGAATGGTCAGGGAAGGTCTCAAGGAGATGATATCTGAGTAAAGACCTGAAGGAGGTGAGGAAGGGAGTCATGCAGAAATCTGAAGGCGGAGGGCTCTAGGCAGAGCAGAAAGCCAGTGAAAAGGCTGTAAGGGGGGAAATGCCAGGCAGTTTTAAGAAAAAGCAAGAGGCTACTGTGGCTGAAGTAGTGAGAGCAGGTGGGAAAGGAGCAAGAAATGAAGTCACAGAGACAAGGAAGCGTTGTTCATGCAGGGCTTTGTGAGTAATAATGAGAACTTTGACTTTTACTCAAAAAGGAATGGTGAGCCATTAGAAAGTTTTGAGCAGAGGAGTGATTTGACTTGACTTAGGTCTTGACAGCATCTTTTGGCTGCTAGGTAAAGAACAGAATGTATTTACTTATATTACATACTCTATGCCATTATAAGATAGCTATAATTTTACAGAAGTGCTCCTCAAACCTTAATATATATTGTAAGTTAAATGTGAACCTTGTTAAAATGCAGATTTGAACTCAGGTCTGGCGTGGAGTTAAAGATTCTGTATTTCTAATAAGCTCTGAGGTGATTCAGATGATACTGGCCTCGGACAGAAAAGTTTGAGGGTAGGAGCTATATCCAAGGCCTGGCATTAAGTAGAATTTCACTAAATTTTTGCTGAATGAATGACATATCAGTGGTTTGATGCCCAATGCCACATAACACTTTCAACAAGGTAATTAAAAAAAATTCAACTATTTGTGTGGAGGTAGGAGAAAGAGAAAAAGAGAAAAGAGAGACATGGATGGATAGGTGAACAGATGAAAAGAGAAGGCAGGAAAGGAAAATCACCTTTTCCCAAACATTTATAATATTAGGTTTACTTAATTTTCTCAATAAATTTAAGAGGTTGGTAAAATGAAGCCCACTGGACAAATCAGAAAATCGAAGGTCAAAGGAGTTAAGGGACACCTTCAAGGCCAGAGAGTTAATCAGTAACTAAGTTAAGATATAAAAGCCAGCACTCCATGTCTCCAGAGCCCTTTTTTGTTCTTTCCATCCTATCTTACAACCCTGGGGAAAGGGGAAGAGATAACATTTAATCTTCCTGGGAAGGGTGAGGAAATGAGTTTAAGTGAAGAAAGTTAAGGGTCAAAGTCCTTAGCCTCGATCTTTTCAGAGCTGCACTGTCCAATGTGGTTGCTATTAGCCACACGTGGCTATTTAAATAAAAATTAAGTAAAATTTAAAATTCCATTTCTCACTCATACTAGCCATATCTCAAGTGCTCAAAAGCCACAGATGGCTGGCCAGTGGCTACTGTACTGGAGAGTGCAGATATAGAATATTTTCTTCACTGCAGGAAGTCCTATATACGGCAGCACTGCTCTAAAGAAACAAGAACTTTGAATCAACTATACTTCAATTAAAAAAAAAAGAAACAAGAACTTTGAAACATGTTAGAGCTATACTACTGATTCTACAGTGGGCCCTGGTCCTACTCAGCGGGGCTGGAGGACAGAAAGTAGGACCTGAAATCTCATCTGGAAGTACGGGGATACAAATATTCAAAGTAGAGCTTTCCTTGGGTCAAGGAGAACACTATAGTCTGTACGTGTGAGTGTGTTTGTTCTTTAAAAAATCCTTTTTTAAAAACATTCTTTTCTATATTTCTCATTGGCTTTCCCATACTGTTTAGTAAAATGTCCTTTGAAAATGCAGACTTGTCTCTACTGAGCTCAAGAGAGTGTGAGGAAAAGGGTTCATCCTCACTCAGATCAGAGAGATGGAGGGGATAAAGTTAGAGAATGCAGAGTCATAGCTCCTGGGGGCAGAGTGACACAGTAAAGGGGCTAAGACTTGTCCTCACAGTATTTAAACCCTGTAGATTTCTCTTCCTAAGTTCTTTTCTGCTCATAAAACCAGTGTTCTCTATGTGGAAAAAGAAGACGAGCAGCATCAGTACTACCAGAGATGCTTGTAAAACATAGGGATCCCTGTGCTTTACTCCAGACTGAGAATTCACAACTTTGGGGAGGTTGAAGAGGGCCAGAATCTTCATGTTTAACAAGCTCTTCCAGGGACTCTGGTGCACATTCAAATTTGTGAACCATTGGCTTGGAGGGAGATATGTGTTACTATAATGATGCCAGGCCCTTACATGGGATAGTGACAAATGGATCAGAGGCCAAGAGGATATGGATAAATATTCGAGGAGGAACTGACAGGGAGAGAGGGAGAGATGGAGAGAGATGTAGAGAGGGTGAGAGAGTGAGAATGAGAGAGAGAGGGAGAGAGAGAGAGAGAGAAAGAGAGAGAGAGAAAGGAATGACTATCAAAGTTATATAGACAGGTAGATAGCAAAAACAGGAGAAACAGACTGAGAAACCCCCAGGGAGCAGTTTCACCCATTAAACAGAATCTGTGAGGCCAGTCTAGTTCTTCTTTCTAACATCCTGGGACTGTCACAGGTAGAGCCCAGGAGGGATGTCATTTCTTCACGAAAGTGCCCCACCCTGAGTGCCCCTATATACATTATCATAGCTTGGCCTACCTCACAAATGTCCTTGAGGTGCTTGATGTAATGACGCTCAGTGCTCATGATCTCATTGATGACGTTGGCCCGCATCTGATCCCGGTTCTGGAGTGGCCGGCCCAGACAGAGGCAGTCTGAGTTGGGGTCCAGGTGCCCATTCTGAACGTCACTGGGCCCTTCCTCCACCCCATCCTCCTGGTTTACCCAGAGCTGTGGAGGTAGGCAGAAGAACAACGGGTTAGCTTCCTTCTGTGAGAAGTTTCCAGCCAAGCAGAAAAAGGATAAACTAAATTCTTCAGGTATCCAGAGAGCCTTCAACCAGAAGTCCTTGGTGAACTGAATGCCAGGCCTGGCTCTACAGTGACCTGCTGGCCCTAGGTATGAGTCTATTCCTCTCTAGGCCCCTGGTGACCTATTAGTAAAATGGAGAATGGGGAAGGGTAGGACTACATCATCTCTAAGAGACTTCTTAGTTAAGAAGATTTCAGAGGAGAAAAGAGTTATAGCAAGCAGAACTCATTCATGCTGGAGCCTATCTAAGCAACACAGCTGGATCAAAAAATAAGTATTAAACTACACATCCTGGGAGAAGGGGGGGTCCAAGATGGTGACAGCGAGACCCTGAGCTCACCTCCTCCCACCAACAAACCAAAGCTATTCCTATATGTAGAGCAATTCCTAAGGGTTGATTCAACAGCTCCTGAATATAGAAGGACCACATAGAAATGGGTAACAAAGACAAAGACATCACATCCATGGGAATAACACCCCTGAAGTAGCAATCTGCAGTAGGGAGAGAGATTGCTGAGTGGCCTAAGCACAGACTCACCAACTTTGGGAAACAGGAAAAAAAAATACCACTTTAAAGAGCACCTAGACTGTATAGTAAAGAAATCAATTTACTAACTAGAGCATTTGCCAAATGGGAAAATAACTGCTGGAGCCCCCTCCAGGGTCAGAGGCACTAGCAAGTACCACTTTTTGAGCACCCCCTTCTCCAGCCACCTGACGAAGGTGGCCTCTGGCACAGCACTCCACATGAACTGTCCCCAGTCTGCACCCACTCCAGCCAGTCTGCCAAAGCCACCTGAGGCACGCAGTCTACAAGGGAAACTCTACAAAAGCCACCCCTTCAAGACCAGGAAGAGGTAGCTGGGTACCTAATTCACAAAAACAAAAACCCAAAGTCAAATAAAATGAGGAGACAGAGGAATCCATCCCAAATGAAACAAAACTCCAGAAAAAAAAAAGCCTAATGAAACCGAGATAAGGAATTTATCTGATAAATAAAGATTTAAAGAAATAGTCATAAGAATGCTCACTGAACTAAGGAGAAAAATGGCAGAATTCAGTGAGAACAACAACAAAGACTTAGAATAAGAAACAACCAATCAGAATTGAAAAATACAATAACTGAAATTAAAAATACACTAGAAGGAATCAACAGCAGACTAGGTGATAAAGAATGGATGATCGGGAAGACAGAATAAGGGAAATCACCAATTTGGAACAGCAAAAAGGAGAAAGATTTTTTTTTAAATAAGGAGAGTTTCAGGGAGCTCTTAAGCAATATCAAGCATACTAACATTCATATTATAGGCATCCTGAAAGAAGGAGAGAGAGAGAAAGGGACAGAAAACTTATTTGAGGAAATAATGGCTGAACATTTCCCTAACATGGGGAAGGAAACTAATATCCAAGTAAAAGAAACACAGAGTGTCCCAAATAAGATGAACTCAAGACATCCATACCAGAAAATATTATAATTGTAATGTCAAAAGTAAAATATAAAGAGAGCATCTTAAAGGAACTAAGATAAAAACAACTAATCACATACAAGAGAAACCCCATAAGGTTATCAGTCAATTTCTACGCAAAAGCTTTACAAACCAGAAGAGAGAAGCAGGATACATTTAAAGTGCTGAAAGGAAAAAAAAAACTTACAACCTATAATACTCTATGCAGCAACATTATCATTCAGAACTGAAGGACAGATAAGTTTCCCAGACTAACAAAATTTAAAGACTTCATTACCACTACATGAAATGTTTAAAAGTCTTTTTTAAGTGGAGAAGAAAAGGCTACAACTAGATATAAAAAAACTTACGCAAGAAAAAAATCTCAATGGTAAAGACAAATATACAGTGAAGGCAATGGATCAGTCACTTAAAAAGCTACTATGAAGGCTAAAAGACAAAAGTAGTATAGCCAACTATACCTACAGTAAGTAGCTAAGGGATGCACAATCTAAAAAGATGTAAAGTATTACATCAAAAACATAAAATTTATGGTAGGGAAGTAAAAATATAGTGCTTTGAGAATGCCTTCAATCGCTTCTTGGCCTTTTGGCTAAGATCAAGTGAGAATGCCTTCAATGATCAGCTAAAATAGATGGCTATATACAGGTTGATATATATGAACATCATGCTAAACGCAAACCAAAAACATACAATGGATACTCAAAAAGATAAAGAAAAAGAAATACTAACAAAACAATAAAGGAATGTATCAAACTACAAGGGAAGAAACAAAAAGAAAAGATCAGGAACAGAGAAGACCTAAAAAAAAATGCAAAACAATTAACAAAATAGCAATAAGTGCATGTCTTATCAATAATTATTTTAATGTAAATGTACTAAATATTTTATATCAAAAGATATAGAGTAGGTGAATGAATTATTAAAAAGATCTGTCTATATGCTGCCTACAAGAGACTCACATCAGATTTAAAGACACATATATTACACTTAATTGATATTTTCAGGACATTACAACCAAAAAGAAAAAAATAGAATATATATTCTTTTTAAGTGTGCATGGAACATTATCTAAGATAGACCACATACTCAGACACAAAACAAGTCATAACAAATTTAAGAGGAAAAAATTATTTCAAGCATCTTTTCTGACCACAATGCCATGAAACTAGAAATCAACCACAGAAAGATAAATGAGAAGAAAAAAAAAGACTACATGGAGACTAAACATGCTATAAAAAAACCAATGGGTCAATGATGAAATCAAACAGGACACTAAAGAATACCTTGAGACAAATGACAATGAAAACACAATCACACCAAATCTATGGGACAGAGCAAAAACAGTCCTAAGAGGGAAGTTCATAGTGATACAGGCCTTCCTCAACAAATAACAACAATCTCAAATAAACAATCTAACCTACAATCGAAAAGAACTGGAAAAAGAGAAACAAAAAACACCTAAAGTTAGCAGAAGGAAAGAAGTAATTATAAAGATCAGGGAGAAAATAAATAAAATAGAGATTTAAAAACAATAGAAAAATCGATCACACCAAAAGCTGACTTTTTGAAAGTGTATACAAAATTGAAAAACCTCTGGCCAGGTTCAACAAGAAGAAAAGAGAGAGGACACAAATAAACAAAACAAGAAATGAAAGATGAGAAATTGCAACCAAAAAACAGAAATAAAAAACCATAAGAGAATACTATGAACAACTATATGGCAATAAAATGGACAACACAGATGAAATGGACAAGTTTCTAGGAATATACAGTCCAGTAAAACTAAATCAAGAAGACATAGATCATTTGAACAGACTGATCTCTAGAAGTGAAATAGAATCATCAATAAAAAACTTTCCTGCAAACAAAAGTCTAGGACCATATGGCTTCACTGGGGAATTCTACCAAACTTACAAAGAAGAACTTGTATGAATCCTTCTCAAACTCTTCCAAAAGACAGAAGAGGAGGAAACACATTCAAATTCATTCTATAAAGCCACCATCACCCTGATACCAAAACCAGACAAAGACATTACTAAAAATGAAAATCACAGGCCAATATCATTGATGAACATAGATACAAAAATTCTCAAAAAAAATTAGCAAACAGAATGCAAGAACACATAAAAACAATTGTACACTATGATGAAGTTGGATTCATCCCAGAGACACATGTATGGTCCAACATATGCAAATCGATCAATGGGATACAACGTATCAACAAAAGAAAGTTAAAAAATCACATGATCATCTCAACAGATGCAGAAAAAGCATTTGATAAAATTCAACTCCCATTTATGATAAAAACCCTTACTGAAGTAGGAATAGAGGGAACATATCTCAACATAATAAAAGCTATTTATGATGAACCTACAGCCAGCATAGTACTCAAAGGTGAAAAACTGAAAATTTTCCCATTAAAGTCTAGGAGAAGACAAGGTTGTCCAATCTCATCAGTTTTATTCAACATAGTCTTGAAGTCCCAGCCACAACAATCAGGCAAGAAAAAGAAATAAGAGATCCAAATTGGAAAAGAACAGGTAAAATTGTCACTATATTCAGAAGCCATGATAGCATATATAGAAAACCCTAAAACCTCCACACAAGAACTACTAGAACTAATCAAAGAATTCAGCAAGGTAGCTGGAAACAAGATTAATGTACAAAAATCAACTGC